ATGCCAGGAAACTGCTAGGTTTACATACAAGTATAAATGGAGTTTACAGCTTTTGCCACATATGCATTTTTCGGAAAATATACTTTGAATGGAACACTTATTTTCTTTCAACTTCAACCAGAAATATTGTACAGGAGTGTTGGCAGTGTTAAAGAACAAAGACTGTGCATAGGATTATATGACAGATAATAATGTTCTTGATTAGATTTTTGTAAACCATTCATCATAGTGGCATGTTTTCAAATGGCTTATAATTGGCACTCTTAATGTGTTTTTTCACAAACTGGACAGTTTGTATGTGGGAAAAGCACAGAGTGTTGCTGTGTCCAGAGGTGGTATCGTAGCAAGCTATCTGCTGCTATTCATCCATCTGAATGTAGTCTAAGGCATGCCATAGATGATTCAATTTTATTTCCTTCCACCATAGGTGGAAGGAAAGAAAGTTGCTTAATTTGCCCATCAACATAGTGAAGTGATGATATGGGAATCCCTCCTGCGGCATTATTGTGTTCTGCTGGCAGTGAGCCTTCCTAGCCGGCATAACACGATGATTTGGGCAGCACAGTAGCTAAGTGGTTAGCACTGCTACCTAGGAGCACTAGGGTCATTGGTTTGAATCCCAACCACAGCATTACCACCCTGGAGTTTGCATGTTCTCCCTGTGCCTGCGTGGGTTTCCTCCCACACTCCAAAGACATGATGGATGGTGAATTGGATCTAAATTGGCCCTAGTATGTGTGAATGTGAGTTAGGGTCCTTAGATTGTAAGCTCCTCGAAGGGCAGGGACAGATGTAAATGTACAATACATATGCAAAGCGCTGCCTACAATTGATGGCGCCATATAAGAACCTGAAAGAAAATACATAAATTACTGCTCACAGCTATAGCCGATGGCAGTAATCACATGAAAAAATTCTGACAAGCTGGTTGTACCCAAGTCAATGGATGGATCGACTTGGATACAACCAGCTCACCGTTAGATGAATCGAATCTCGGTCGGTCCCTTCTGAACTGGCCAAGATCCATATATGACTGGCTTTAGGATCATTTTTAAAAATGGAGGAGAGCATTTTAATGTACAGACAAAGCTGCAATGCATAGTGGATTTTTAAAAATTGCACTGTAACTTGCACTGAACCTTTGACTTTTGAATCTGATACACTAGCGATTTGGAAATGTAGCATTTGTGAAGAGAAAACGATATACAACTGTGTACTGCATGACTGTTCTTGGTACATAGGTAATCAAGGACAACATGTAAAAAAAACAAAATATACACTACTCATAGATTCTGATGTTATTCAAACAATATTTTTGTTGTTCCACCTAAATCCTTGTCTGACTACAATCTGGTTTGAGAACAGAAGAGCATAGCACTCACAATGATAGGACCGGTAAATATTGTAGATGGGGGAGACTACATTTATCCAGAAAAACAGACAAGTCTGGGGCAGATGTATAATAACAGGTCGTACGATGCAGGCCTTTCCAGTAGATCACATAATCAAAAAAAAAATTCCTTGTTCAAGGTAACCATGTTTATTCCTATGGTTATAATTAATTACACATACACGTGTGAACTCCTCAAACTGGCATTAGGAGTCAAAATTGTGACCGTCTGAGAATGTCTATAATGAAAAACTCTAATAAAATATTAGGCAGTGCAGTATGATGGAGAGATTGCTGGGAGTGTAAATAAAAGTAGATGAAGGCCATGTCCTTCAAAATCTAGCAGACACCAAAAAAGCAATCTATTGTATCTCTAATAGGAATATTCCAAATTGGATAACAGTAGAGTTTGTTGTTGCTTAATGTTTTGATGCTATGGGTAAGTTGGATGGAATAAAGAAAGATTTCAGAAATGAGAGTGAAGTGGCGAAGGGTTGGAAATATTGGTAGAGGCCTTTTCCTACCATACATGGTTATTTTTTTCAGTTTCATTCAGCCAGGGGTTGAATGAAAAAAAAAACAGATTCCTCCATCCACACCCCAAAACCACAGCTCCCCCATGGCTATTTACCTGTATTTGCATTTTTATAATGCATGCAGTGCATTTAAGAAGTACTGCTCCGCAACGCTTTGGGTTTGAAGCTGGCAACAAAGCCTTCTGCAAGATGTCATTGCCAGTCATACACTGGTTCAAATGTTTGTATGGAATTTCTGCAAAATTATTTGTCAGAGCATTCAGCCTTGTAATCATTGAGTCAATAAATTTAATGTGAAAATTTCATCCAGAGCTGATAATTGAAGAGAATTCCAAATGTGTTAAACAGGTTTCTTTTGTGCCTAGAACATAAGAATGACAATATGTACAATTTTCCCAAATGAGAACTACATTCACAGGTAGAATTTCTTTTGCTCCTTTGAATTTTCTCATTGCTGCAGACAAAAATGATTTGACCCCACTAACCATTAGAAAATTGAATGAATGGTCCAAAAAACAAACATATTCATCTTAAAGCGGTATTAAATCAATATTTAATATATTACAGCTTCCCGATAATTAGATGTAGTGGCGCCATTTGTTTTGCTTTTTTCTTTTTTTTTCTTTTTTTTTCTTTCTGTGCATCTGGTGATCTGGCCAGCAACACACCTCCTGTTTTAGTGTGCCCACACTGTAGATGAAGAAGCACAGTGGCATCTTTGGAATGAAGCATTGTTAATCTGGGGGTAGGGAAGTGTTAGATGTACTAGCAGATTTAGATATACTAACAAATTGAAGACAAATTCCAGCTCACACTTTCTTTTTCTTTTGTGATAAAGGTATTACATAAACAAAACTAATCATTGTAAGCCCCCTCCTACTAGTGGTATATACAGTCATGGCCGAAATTGTTGGCACCCTTGATATTTCTCCAGGAAATCATGTATTTCTCACGAAACGTATTGCATTAACACATGTTTTGCTATACACATGTTTATTCCCTTTGTGTGTATTGGGACAAAACAAAAAAAGGGAGGAAAGAAAGCAAATTCGACATAATGTCACACAAACCTCCAAAAATGGGCTGGACAAAAGTATTGGCACCCTTTCACAACTGCGGATAAATAAGAATGTTACAAGCATGTGATGCTCCTGTAAACTCACCTGGGGCAAGTAACAGGTGTGGGCAATATAGAAATCACACCTGAAAGCAGATAAAAAGGAGAGACGTTCACTTAACCTTTGCATTGTGTGTCTGTCTGTGCCACACTAAGCATGGACAACAGAAAGAGGAGACGAGAACTGTCTGAGGACCTGAGAACCAAAATTGTGGCAAAATATCAACAATCTCAAGGTTACAAGTCCATCTCCAGAGAACTAGATTTGCCTTTGTCCACAGTGCGCAACATTATCAAGAAGTTTGCAACCCATGGCACTGTAGCTAATCTCCCTGGTCGTGGACGGATGAGGAAAATTGATGAAAGATTGCAACGCAGAATAGTCCGGATGGTGGATAAGCAGCCCCAAACATGTTCCAAAGACATTCAAGCTGTCCTGCAGGCTCAGGGAGCATCAGTGTCAGCGCGAACTATCCGTCGACATTTAAATGAAATGAAACGCTATGGCAGGAGACCCAGGAGGACCCCACTGCTGACACAGAGACATAAAAAAGCAAGACTACAGTTTGCCAAAATGTACTTGAGTAAGCCAAAAGCCTTCTGGGAAAACGTCTTGTGGACAGATGAGACCAAGATAGAGCTTTTCGGTAAAGCACATCATTCTACTGTTTACCGAAAACGGAATGAGGCCTACAAAGAACAAAACACAGTACCTACGGTAAAATATGGTGGAGGTTCAATGATGTTTTGGGGTTGTTTTGCTGCCTCTGGCACTGGGTGCCTTGACTGTGTGCAAGGCATCATGAAATCTGAGGATTACCAAAGGATTTTGGGTCGCACTGTAGGGCCCAGTGTCAGAAAGCTGGGTTTGCGTCCAAGATCCTGGGTCTTCCAGCAGGACAATGACCCCAAACATACGTCAAAAAGCACTCAGAAATGGATGGCAAAGAAGCGCTGGAGAGTTCTGAAGTGGCCAGCAATGAGCCCAGATCTAAATCCCATTGAACACCTGTGGAGAGATCTTAAAATTGCTGTTGGGAAAAGGTGTCCTTCCAATAAGAGAGACCTGGAGCTGTTTGCAAAGGAAGAGTGGTCCAAAATTCCGGGTGAGAGGTGTCAGAAGCTTATTGATGGTTATAGGAAGCGACTGATTTCAGTTATGTTTTCCAAAGGGTGTGCAACCAAATATTAAGTTAAGGGTGCCAATACTTTTGTCCAGCCCATTTTTGGGGTTTTGTGTGACATTATGTCATATTTGCTTTTCTGCCTCTGTTTTATATTTGTTCCAATACATACAAAGGGAATAAACATGTGTATAGCAAAACATGTGTTAATGCAATACCTTTTTTGTGTGAAATACTTGATTTTCAGGAAAAATATCAAGGGTGCCAACAATTTCGGCCATGACTGTAGTTTTTTCTTATTCCTATATCTGCTGCATCTGCAAAAGAACTTGTTCTTTTGAAAAACAACAGACTTATTAGCCAGATCACCATGGGAAAATAAGGGAAAGTAAGCCTTTAACCACTTGCCCTCTTGAGGATTTACCCCCTTTCCTGACCAGGTAATTTTTTGCGTTACAGTGCTGCGTTACTTTAACTGACAATTGCACAGTCATGCAATTCTTCACCCAAATGAAATTTAAGTCCTTTTTTTCCAATGAATTGAGCTTTCTTTGATCACCTGTGCGGTTTTTATTTATTAAAAAAAAACACACACCGACAATTTTGAGAAAAAAAACAATATTTTTTACTTTTTGCTATTAAACATGTCTAGTAAAAGAATGTAAAAAATCATATTTCATCATAGATTTCTACCAAAACATATTCTGCGACATGTCTTTGCTAAAAAAAATCCCAATACATGTAAATAAATTGATTTATGTCAAAGTTATAGCGTATACAAATGGCGGTATATATACTCTGACTTTTACATTTTTACTAGTAATGGCAGCGATCAGCAACTTATAGCAGGACTGCGGAACTGCTGCAGACATTCTGACACTGAGGGGAACTGATTTGGTGTCACTGACATCCCCAGTGACACCAATACAGTGATCAGTGCTAAAAAAAAAGCACTGACACTGTACTAATGGCACTGGGCAGGAAGGGGTTAACATAAGGGGCGATCAATGGGTTAACTGTGTGCAGGGAGTGCAGGGGGCGGTTTCTGTGTGTTTCACTGTAATCACACTGCTCTGGATGGCTGTACTGTGCACAGCCATCCAGAGCAGTGTGCCAAACTGACAGGGAGAAGAACTGTTAGTAAACAAAACAGTCCTCCTCCCCATTGGTGATTGTGAGAAATACTTGCTGGCACCCGGTGATTGACAGCCACGGCAGCAAAATCCTACCTGGAAATGCAACATCACGTATATGTACATGATTTTGCACTCCCATGCTGCCCTGACTGCTATAGGGCGGACGGGAAGCGGTTAAAAGAAAATTAATTCAGCCACCACATCTAAGAATTGGTAATCTGCAATATAATAAATGTTTGCTTTTTGGTTTAATACTACTTTACGTTTTATTTAAAAGAAAAAAATCTGTGTACACCAGGTTACTCAAAGTGTATGCTGTTCCCCTGCTGTATTGACACCTCCCCAAGATGCCCCATCATTAAATCATGCTGTTCATACAGGATGGATAAATGATGAGTAGCACAAAGGCCCAGAAGAAATGTCATTGAAAAACAGTAAGTTTGTTGGCAAGTGTGCCCACACTTTTTATTGCCTATAATGGTTTAGGATCATTGTTACCAAGAATATATAACTTAAAATACAGTGATGCACAACAAAAGTTTAGCTGTTAGAAACCAGAACCTTGCTAGATTATAATGTCCTGGTCTATAATGTTACAATTTGCTAAAATTAAAATAAAAAAACAAAAAACTTGCAGTTAGTAAGAAAGAAGTAATAAATTATGATCAGTCCTATTCGTATGCCCTCTATTTCTCGCTTCCTCAGCACTAATATGTGCTCATGGCTTTATTCTTGTTTGTCTTTCTGTTCATGTTACAATTTGTGTTTCAGCTAATCATTCTCCCATCTCTTAACTAATCTTTGACTGAAATGTGAAGATAGAGGGACAGAGCATACTATATGGACAGGACATCTTTAGCCATACTAACAGGCTGCAGTAATTAATGAATACAATAAGCAGTAGCAGTGCTGTTTCCCACAGGATCCCCTCTTAGCACGGGGGAACATATGTTTATGTCCATAGCTCTTAAGTCTAGCTTTTCTGAAACCACCACCCATCTGGATATACTGTGAAACAAAAAATTATAGTAATTTTTTTTAGATACAGATTTTAGCCAACCTATTTCAGAATCCTATCTGCTCTGTTTAGGAGATATTGAAAGCACCATTTTCCTATTATCAAACCATAAGTGATTGCACTAAGTGTCACTAATAAATACAAATAAATAAATAAGTATATAAATAAGTACACATAACTCAATAGCAGCTACACTCACCATATTCCACATACAAATATACAGTAGATAGAAAGTTATCCTAATTGTGTTGCGCTGCTCACAAATACAAAGTGCATGTGCAGAAAAATAAACAATAAACAGATTACTTAAATTCATAAACATATAAAAGTTCACATATGTGCTCATAAAGTGCTAAATCCACAGTCAATGACCAAACAGGAGATCCAGTGCAAATATGGCAGCCCAAATAATCCCATAGATGGACAGACTCTTCACCAATTGTGTACACCAGCAGTCACAAACTGCTTAACATATCCTCACACCTCAAAGGGAAAGAGGTCTGGATACACATTAAGGGAAAAGACTCAAATAGATGGATAAAAACCTCATGTTATTTCAAAGGGAACTCATCAAACCGACACCAACAATCCAGCAAGATAGACTACTATAGGATCTGTAATTCTGTTCATCCAGTGCTTTGATCCACATATTCCATGTCAGCCAGCAGAGCCAGGTCCTGTACTACCTTTGACTTCTCTGCATGCAGCACTGCATTTGACCAGTACAGCCTGATCTAGAGCCTGCCCCACACTTAATATTAGACCTAAACAAAATAGGTCATACCGTGCTTAGGTGAGTATCCTTCTGAGGATCAGCCTCCGGCTCTTTGCAGCCACATGTGGTCCCTATAATAGACCTCACCTTGCTGGTTCCAATGTGAATCGAGCTAAAAGAAAGGGAATAGCAATCAAAGTGCACCCCATGTATTGAGTAAAAACTATTTATTCTGCTACATACTGTATGTACTCACAATAGTATAATAAATACAGCATTGAATCCAATGGAAACATGGAGTTTTCTCACCAAACTTCCGAATTGCACATGTCATGAAAAAAATTCTCCTGGCATGTGCAATTCACAAGTTTGGTCACTGTATACATGTAGTTAGGAAAAGAGATGGTGGGGATAGCCACAGTTCTGTAGCCCAGCAGGCAAGGCTGGCTGGGATTTCAGTTTACCAAAGACAGCTGTCAGCCCAGTTAGGAACACCTGGATTTCTGGCAGATACAGGTATCTTGTTCTAATACTTGTTCTTTTAGCAGACATGGGTATTTTTGCAGCATTTTGAAAGGATCAAACATGAGGAAATATAAAAGTATTAAAAATGTGTATTAAAAAGATGTACTAAATATAGATAGGGTTGGACAAAAGTATGGAAACACCAGGTAAAAGAACAAAATTGTTACCTAATATGGTGTTGGACTGCCTATGGCATCCAAGGCAGCCTAAATTTTCCTGGGAATTGACAGATATAAGTCTTGGATGGTGGGTAATGGAATCTGATACCACTTTTCATGCAAAAATCGTTCCAGTTCTCGCAGAGATGATGGAGGCGGAAAACAAGACTGAACCTTGTTCTTCAAAATTGACCATAGTAGCACTATGATATTGAGTTCCGGTGACTGCGGCGCCCAGGGAAGGTGTGAGACTTCTGTGGTGGCAGTGACTCTACCTATCAAAGTGATGATGGGGGCCTGTAGAATACCAAAATATACCTGCTCAAACCATGATTGTGCCGCCACCATGCTTTACATTGGCAGAAGATATTCCTGGTTGTAAGCTTGGGACTGTGTGCACCACACGTAAACACGTCCGGTGGTTTGGAACAGTGTGAAGCTCGATTGATCGGACTATATTACAGTCTTCCATTGATTGATAATCCATGATTTATGGGTGTTGCACCATTCTCTCCTCTTCTGAGCATTAATATCGGTACTAGTGGTTTGGCAGTTGCAGCTTGACTATGAATGTTTTGCTCATGGGGTTCTCTCCACACAGATTTTGTGGACACGGGCTTTGTAAGACTGAGATTGAGCTCTGCCGTCACTTTTGCAGCAGTTGTTTTCTTATTCTGGGTCGCAATGTCCTTTTGTCTCCTTCAGTCAGTTGACCATGTCGACTGCACTTATGCTTATCAGATGACGTTTTCCTGGAAACTATATATGTCGTCATAACCTTTGATACTGTACCTTGTGACACAGCAAATAAATTGGGAACTTCAGTCACAGAGGCACCAGCTAAGCAGGCACCAACATTTTGCCCTCTTTGAAGCTCAGTAAGCTCTGACATGACTCTGTATCACTAGCAGCGCATGCAGTGAATGACAAAAGTGAGGCTTCCCACCTGTTAGCTAGGTGTCTCATCACACAGTGGAAGCAAAATAATGTTACATCACTTCCACTTTCAACACAAAACATGCAAATCATGTAGTGTTTCCATTTTTGTTGTCTAATCCCTGTTGAAATATACTAAGATTGCAAAGAGAAGAGCAAATGGTATCCCAGAGCAGCTAAGATACTGGACACCTGGATACCTCTGACTGGAGGCTCTTCCAATGATGACCGGAATTATGTGGAGAAAGAGGGCAGCTTTCAGAACTTTACAGAGACCTATGAACCAGTGGAGAGTGGTGGTCCTGAAGTCATAAGGTTGTCATACAAAGCATTTAAACCCACTAGAAATGTTGGTTCCAATGTATTCAGTTAGTATTACAGCAGACGGACTGAAGTGAATAGTAGTAGTGTTTGGTAATTGGAACTGCTGTTTGATATATTAGATTAATTTCTGCTGAGCCCAAGAGTGAGGTAGAGGCTACAGCCAATATTAATAATATTATCAGATAAGAATTGGGAAGACTCATTATTAGATAAGCATGGTGCATTGTCCACATACTCACCTTTCATTCTCTAAAGCTTCATCTAGCCACCTGAAGCAAAGAAAAAACCCAATTTTTCCACGTTAGGAGGATCATGTGACTCACTCCCCGTCTTCTTATGTGACAGCGCTGGTGCTTGGTGATTGGTACAGTACTGTCACCTGGTTAACAAAAAGAAAGTGCTCAATACTGTGTAAGCTCCAGCTAGGGCATCTTGTAGCTGACAAGGGGCTTATTTCCTCCTTCCCAGTCTGTGAGGGCTGGGGGAGCAAAGGGAATGTGCATATGTGTTCACAGGAAATAGGGCATTAAGACACACTTGTTGTTTTGCCCTGCATGGCCAAAGCATAGGCTTGCTTTAAGAGCTTATATGCATAGGCATCAAACCCAGAAGCAAGGCAAATACAAATAAAAAATTCTGTAAATAAGTAACAGTTTCTAGAGATAATCCTGGGTTACATTTAAGCATTAGCAATGTTTGGTCTGAATCTTTTTATTGATTCTAGAATGTACATACAGTATATTGTTAAGCACTGTATCAGAAAATGTAATTCCTTGTCCGTCAGTGTAGTTCTATTTCCTTGGTGTACAAAGAGACATAAATGCTGGCATTTTTCATTCTGAAGGAATGTGCTGTATTGTCTTGTGTCTGGAACAGCATGCATTAAACATACACGAAGGTGAGTCCAGTCATTGTTATCGGTGCCTTTGCCCCTCCACGAGTGCTCCAGCACCAGTGGTGTTAATCTTCTGATTCGTAGTGATGGGTACCCTGCCTGGCCATCTCACTGACAAGTATCATTATCACTTCATTCCTCTGACAGGCTTCTGTCAAACAATGCTTTTGTTAACCTGCCTGGATCTGTCGCTAAATCGCGGAACCTTCTTTCTCTATCTCACATCCTACTGTTCCACCGTCCATCACATTTTAATTTGCAAATTAGAACCTATTGTGCTATAAAACAATAGCGGAGATGAAGAACTGAAATACCCTTTAAAAACTCAAATGAGAACTGTACTGTAAATAACTGTCTGGGTTTGGTTAATTATTTCATGCTGTACATTTCCGCTATCAATGAGCATTTAGCTTTTTCTGCTATGACTTTTGCATCCTGAACTGTTTATATTCAGAATGAGAAGCATCTTTAATAATGGAAATTGTACTAACAGTA